TGGTTATTTATCCTGACCAGCACTGACTGCAATTGTCAGAGCCTTAGCACTCTGTACTCACTCCTGCTCTTAAAAACCAGTGACAAATAACCTACTGAGGCAAGACCAAGAGGTCAAAAGAGCACTTATGCTTACTGTCTTGCTTGCAGCAAGTGGGTCTGATAATCAGATCACCTGTACCTCTAAATGTACAATATTTTGGGCATTTCTTCAAGTGACATAATATATGTTTCAGTGACTGAGAAAACACTCAGACATCTATGAATTGCAGTTATTGTTGGAGGCTTTGCCTGCAAAGAGAGCAAACAGAGCATTCATCATCCAGTTCCTGTAATCCTATTTGATTTTGAGGAGGATGGGAATACTGCCATAGAGCAATTAACCCAATGTTGTTATTTTAATTTGGACATGGCTTAATTTCTTTTCATTGACATCCATCATGTTCTAAAATAAAGGATATTTTCATCTACTGTTGCAAATGCTATTTAACTATACCTATTTGCTTGGGGTTTTTTTAATGCTTTCCCCATTCTAACTTTACTTCACAGTGCACAAAAAAGAATTACTTGCAAGTCTGCTACAACCAGATTTTTTTCTCATTTTCCTGTACTCCAGTTTGAAAGGCTGTCATGATCTCCCCCTGTTTTGGGGCTCTCTTTTTTTGATAAACCCCCTGCAAAGACCAGTAGTGTCATTGGGGTCAGTCAGTCCCTAGGGGCAGTGCCAGGCTGAATGAATTCACCCTCACCCAAAATTCTAATTAACTGCAGTTTCCTTGATGCTTGCCCCTGATAGATGTGAGGAAAGCACTGTGCACTTTTTTCTTACACTTAATATGTGGTATTACCAAACCTCCATTTATCATAATTGACCAGGGAGATTCACAGTGTTCAATAACTTGGATAATTTTTCTGTGAAGGTCCTTCTCTTGGCTTGGATTTGCTGGGTGCTTATGTAGAAAAACGAATCATTTTCTCTGAGTGCAGCAAGTACAACCTGCTTTCCCTAGTACAATTATTTACAATGCAGAAGATCTAGAAAATATTTTCTACCATTTTTGTATGTAAGTATGCCAGCATCAAATCCTCCAGTTCAACAATGTTCACATGAAATTGGGATAAACTTCCCAGAAAATTTACCATTATGCCAGTCACCATTTATTTTTTTTTTTAAAAAGTATATATATATATATATATATATACACACACACACACACAGAGATACATGACTTCTACTAGTCTTTTCTTTACTAAATCACAATGTCAGAGCAAAGCAAAACTATCTGACTAAAGGAAGCCTTGGAGACTTCACAGATCTGTTCTTGTTCCTGCATTAATCCTTGGGATACGCTCCCCTGAACCAGGTGAGAGCAGAACAGCACGTGGTGTAACTACTGTGTGTGAGTGTGGTAAATTCTCATCTTCCCAAACGATGCTATATTGCCTCTTCCTCCCACATAAACACCATTATGGAGCTGTCTGAGGAAATAGAAGGTAGAAAAGCCTCTCATACTTTCATTTATCACCGGGAGAAAAATCTTAGAAGCAGGACCACTCATAGAAGTGATATGGAGATTGCTGCCCTGCAGCTTCCACGTTTATGTGTTGGGTAGGGGAAGGACTTCTACTAGATTCTTACAGCACAGCCCCCAGCTGTACTTCAGAAGAATTTGTGAAAACTTTCTTGGTTTAGAGATTCTCTTGTCCTCTGAGATCCTCCATCATCTTTTCTTGCCCCAACAAAACAGAGGTAGTGAAGTGGAAAAGCCCCATTAGTGCCTCATTGAGGGAAACACTGTAGAGTGAGTTTAAACCTCAAACCCCACTGCCCTCACAGAGAAGATACTTTGCTTCTTCCTGGTCACTGGTAAAGATTGTGTCAATTCAGATAACAATACATAACAGTGCAGTTAACATGTCTTGTGTATTGCAAATGCTTTCAGTGGCATGTTTAATAAAATTATATTTCCATAAACATAGGCCTTGACTATAATTGAACTGAGCCATCCATAAAGACACCAGTAGATAATTTAGTTGCAAAAAGCTGTTTTTCAAGTAAGTAGAGATTTGTTTTCAGTAGGGAGAGCAACCTATTGATTTAGACACATTCTGCTAAAAATACGAGTTTTACTGCTGTTTGTACCTTGTGAATAGGGTTGTTTGAGTACCTTTTATGTTTTATTCAAGCCTCCAATAATTATCAAAGGATTTCATTTCAAAATGTTTAGCAATTCAATGAAGTACAGAACTCACATGGTTACTTAGTTTCTTTCAAAAATATTTTCTCTGTGAAAGCGACCTTGCCTTCCTGTGGCTCAGGGTATTACAATTCTCATTTTGTGAGGAGAACACTAAGTCTATGCACAAGCTTCAAATAAATGGTTTTCTTTGGGTGACAATATAGGCTTTCATTACAAAGCCCAGATTTTTCAGAGTACTGAAGCACACCTAGTGTTCTTTGAATGAGGAACAGTTGATGTTTCAAATTCTTGGAACCTTCAGAACTTTGAGATTGATCGTATGCTTTTTCATGATAAACTGGATTATTCAGAGGAATGCTACTAATGACAAAGCAACCCTGTTGTCTCTCCAAGTGTGGTGTGACCTACACAGTAATGATCAGACACAACCTGATTACAATTGACTGGATTTTATGCATACACATGCCCACAAACATCATATTATATGTCTTCCCTAGTATAAGTAATGAAACACATACATCTTTTGCTGAGAAGCAACAGAGGAAAAGCATATCCCCACACTTCCTTGGAGACAGACCAGTGCAGAAGAACTCAGGGAGATCAATACTCTTTTCTTATCAACAATGAAATTCCAGAGCTACTCTTTGTGAATGGATAATAAATTGCCCAACAGTAGCCCAACAGCTTCATTTAAGACCTCTTCTTCCACAAGCCTCAGTTTTGACACAAGTTAAAATGTAATCCTTCTAATAGATAAATGCGAATTTCTGCTTTATAAATAATAAATAATGCCTTGAGTTTTGATCAACACTGAATGGCCAAAAAACTCCTCAAGAATAGATAAATGCCAGCCCTGACAGGTAGACAAATGTGCTGCATCACAGGATGAACTTCTGAGTGGTCCTCAGCATCAGAGCCAGAAACTCCATTTTAAGAACCAGTCAGAAAACTCCATGTATTGATAATTACAGTAGACTCATCTATGATGAAAATTAACTCTAGGACTGAGCTAATCACAAAGCTAAATATTAAGACCTTAAAGATTTAAATAAGGACTATTACCAATTAAGATTTGAGGACCTGGACAGATGTTGAGAGTTAAGCTTGTGGCGACAAACTTTCTACAATGGTTGCCTGTCTCTAGTATAGTCTGGCCACCCACAAGCTTCCATTTTCTTTTCTTTCACACAGACCCAGTTTGTAGAATCATTCTTTGTCTCTCTGATGTTCTCTCCCTGTTTTTGAACTATTTCTGACATCTGCCACTCTCAATAATTGTTCTTGGGCTGATATTTGCCTCTGAGTTTACCTTGAGGTGCTGATGGAAAATTCCATAAGAAAGCAAATTTCATTACCAGTGACAGAATAGCTTAAGTAATATAGAACGTACATAAGTCATCATAAGGCACAATGAAAAGAGTGATACTGATTTTGCAGTGGTGGGTATTCGGCAAGTAATTCAGTATCTCTCTAAAATTAACTCATTAAGTATCATGATATGCTCTGAAATAGATATTTGGAAAACAACTTCTCTTTATAAATGTTAGGTTCTGCAGCAAAGTTCCTAGTAGGGTTTGAACTTCTCTGTCCAAGGCTTTTCCTTGCCTATTTTTTTACCATGAGACAGACAGGTATTGGTGAGACATCTGAGAAGATGCTTAGCAGTCTTGGACTTGGAAGAAAGAGCCCACTGAAGTTCATGAGCTTGCAAGCACTAGTGTAATGCTTTTTGCCCTGGGTTTCATTCTGCCTCCTAAAACATATTGCACTGAAGACACAGAATGATTGAAAATAGAGACTCTTATACAGAGGGACATGCGCTGAATGACAGCCGTCTGATGTGATTATTGTTTGCTTGATCCTGTAACTAGAGGTTACAGTATTTCCTTTTTCCATGGTAATGTACCTGGCCTCAGTTCAATAAGTAAAAATCCAGAGCAATGGTAAAAAAACAAACAAACAAACAAACCAAAAACCCAGTATTTTTTCCAAAGAAGGCCTCAATAAGTGATGATCTAAATGAATAAATGAATGAAGCTTGATCAATATGGTAAGAAAAAACACAAACCCACTGTGAAGCATGTCACCTGGCCATAAAAAGAACCCGTCAGACAGAGCTGAGAAAAAAACTTGGGAGAATCAGATTAGAATTCAGGCAAAAGATAGAATAAATGAAAAAAGTTTAAAATTGTTTAAAAATATTTGCTTTCCTGATTTTATTAATTTCTCACTGAGCCAATATACTTTCTGCTAGTATGAGAGCAAAGAAAGCTTTATTTTCTATATAACAGGGGACTTCCAAAATACTTTACTTTTTCCTAAGAATTTTGTTCAACTACCTGAAGAAATGAAACTTACATGTCACAAAAATTGGTTTCAGACAATTCAGAAGCTGCTGCGAATTGTTCACTTGCAAATTAAATAGTTAATTATGCTAATCTCTGAAAAGAAGTGACAATAAAGCAATCACATTGCTGTTCTCTATGCTGTCATTTTTTTTCAACCACCCAATGGTTGAAAAAGCAATATCCATTACTAGTTTTACTTTTTGCTTTGAAACTTCATTCTCTGAGCAAGTCAATTTTAATGTAGCTTCTGTTCCTGACAAACTATTAAAAATAGGCAAAATGGTTTACAAAATTAGTTTAGTTATCAGTCAAAATTAAAATGATTCATACCTAAAGCAATGGGCAGTGCACAGAAAAACAGGAAGGTTCCTATAAAGAAGGCTTGTTACCTGTTGATGCTCAGCCAAGTAGTAAGCAGTGTGTGATTGCCAACTTTTTTTTTGTTTTAATAGTTTGATGCAGACAGAGATGAAGAAGAAGTGTTCTTTGACATAAGTTCGGCAGTTGACAATAAACTATTTGCAAACAATGAGGCCGCAGCAGGTGAGTTAATGTAAGATTTAAAGAACCACATTTTCTGTGCTGCATTTGACATTGGTGGGATACCTTTTTCATATTCCTCAAGTATGGATGTATGTGCTGTAGCAAAGTCTTGACTGACTTCAAACATTTGCACAACCCAGGGCAAAAAATTCTCTTTACACTTGGAAACTTCATACAACCCACCTAGTATCTTGTTTATCTACAAGCTCACCTTAAAATACTATGGATAGTCCACTAAACAACTATATCATTAATACAAATACTTTAGAAGTTGATTGATTCCAGTTGTCAGCTGTTTCAGTTCCAGATAATACCTCGGTGTTCACCAAAAAAGCAGTCCTGTGAGATCAATGATCAGACTTCATCCCTAATAACTGGTACTCGTTCTGAAACTGTGAATATAAGTCAGGCGTTTGGGGGGTTTATTTATTTATTATTTGTGCTTACTGAGGCTTGAATGTCTCCAAAGAAAAAGCCTTCAAGGGACAAAGAACTGCAAAAAAACTGAAGCTAAAAATCAAAGCACTGAAAATCCATAACATCTGTCAGAAATATTTTGCTTGAGGGGAACAGGAAAATGTTCCTTGGTAACTTCACAACTTTTTCTTTTTACAGATGGCATCCCTGGCTGCCTTCCAAGTAGACCATGAAGGTTATATAGGTAGATGAGGTCATAAATGTCTTGTGAAACAGCACATAAAAAGAAAAATAAGATTCTAGGTGAAATATTTTCCTGTAAAATTTATTACCTTTATTAAAACAAAAAATAGATATGTATAGTAGAGAAAATTGTGTATCTGATCTCTCCTTTGTTTAAGGGAAAACTCATCTGCTATAAATTGGCAGACGGTAGCTTCAGTTATTTGTAATCGTGAACAATCATCTGAGGTCTGCCAAGGAAAGAGGAATTGATGAAGCACAACGAAGTCTAGTAGTAGCAATGCATCTATTATCTCTTTTTGACAAAGGGAGGATTACTTTTTTCTACTAGCAAGACATTTGCAAAGAGCAGTGCTTCAGACAAGAAAGATTAGGTTGTATTTTGAAGATTTGAAAGGGAGTTCCAAGCTAGCTAGCCTACAAAACCCACCCATAAGGATATTTTTGACAATGTTAAAAATGAGATAAAGATGAATTATTCAGGCGTGGGGTGGTTGAGAAAAAGTGCATTAGTTAAAAAAAAAAAAAAAGTTTCTAGTGGTCAGCTTTGAGATAAGATGCACACAAGAACACAGATTACTAGCTTTCTCTGTTAAGTAGCATGCTTACCACTTCTGTGCTTAGCCTTATTCCTAGAGGCAAGAGATTGCTTCAAAACCTACAATAGCATTCCCACGGAACAGCATTGTATTGATTATTACCTGTGGATATTCCCTAATTAAATAAGCTGAGTACTGAATAGCAAGAAGAGGAAAGAAGTGGCATAAAGGTGCTAGCTCTGACAAACTGAGAAAAGCTAAACAATTTGCACAAATTGGTTGTGATTCTGTATGAGTTCCAGTCAGTTCCTTAAAAGTGTGATCTACTTAATAAATTCCTCACCAAAATAATTGGAAAGCTATCAGCTTTATCAGAAGCCATGCCACCATCATCTAATTGGTGCCTAACCTGAGCACTGATAATAGTAAGGAGATTTAAAGTAGGATTTCTAGAGATCCTATGAGACCAGATATCCAATTTCTAGAGGTCACAATTCCAGCATTGCCTTGATCTCACTTTTATTCTTATTAGTGATATTGCAGTATATTTTCGTTCCTGGTGACTACTATAAACATAGTATTTCTAATATTTTCATGCCTCCACATCCATCTAATATGTTATACTTGTAAAATCCAGTTGTAATCAATTGTGTAGCAATATATGCTGAAAGAAAATAATTTAATGTTTTTATAGATTAAAATACAATGTTCTCATTGTTGCCTTCTGACATTTTAAAACTGTTGCTAAGAGCAACAACATGTCATGAAACTCAAGAGCGTAAGGTTGCAATAAAATTTGTATTAGAAGCATCTTACTGAGAACAAAATTAAAATGTAATCATTCTAATGCTGATCAGTCCTTCAGTAAATTATTTCTATTATATTCCACTTGAACTTTATCTTCTAAGCATTTGTCTTGCCCAAGTGCTTATATGCAACATGTATTAACTGAATTATTAGACAGTGCTTCAGAGCATGTTCCGTAACATAAAAAGACATTTTTATTTTATTGACCTTAAACATGCTATTAAGAGAAGCAACATGTTTCACAGGATAGTCTTAGGTTACTTTTATGACAGTGTTAAACAGTGCAAATACTATAGTTAAAATATGAGTGTGGGGCATCTTTGGATCCAATGAACCATACTGAGTAGAATTTCTAGAAGGATTTGAAATAAATAATGGATTTAAGCAAGGACTGGAAATACATTAGCTGATTTGCCAAAACACAGATAGTCCAAGGAGCAGACTTAATAAACTCACATGGTGGGGTATAGCTACCTGGTAATGGGAAGTTAAATCAACTGCAGATAAAGTTAGATAGCTCAGTAAAATTTCATTTCATTGTATAAATGAATTTAGTGAACTGTGAAAAAGCAATGCTTGACATTTGCATTCATGAGAACTTAAGGATGAACACACTTTCAGAGGAAGTGACACACACCCACGCTCAGAACACTGAAATGTTTTACAGTAACAGACATTTACGGCCATGATGCCCCTGGGTTCTGGGGTGCATTTCTGTGGGAGGAATCTCACACCTGCCTGTTACAGCCATGCCCTCTCAGTTTTCCATGGCTAATCCGGTGCAGTTGAGCTTAGGAGCAACAAACAATATGTAAAATACAGCATAAAATTTGAAAGTACAGCCTCATGGTGAAGGAAGTGCCTGAGCACAGCCTCGCACCCATCCAGGGCAGTGGAGTTGTTCTGCCCAACTGTCAGACCTGGCAGGGTACCTCCTGCCAGCACACCCTGTACAGCTGCAGCTGCCCATTAATTCAGCTCATCTCTCAGTGCTGTGTCATTGGATCCTCTTGGGTTCCTAGCAAGACAAATCTTTATGAATGATGCCTTCAGTGTCAAGATACAAAGCCCAGCGAAAAAAGGGAATGCATTCTAGCTGGTCTACTGTTTCTTTTTACAGCAGCCTGCTCCTCCCTGGAGAGCCAATTATTCAGTTAATGGGGATTTAATAAAAACTTCCAACTGATTTATTTTTTTAATTGTGCAGTACTGTATTTAATAAAATCCTCTGTTTTTTCCCTAAGGAAAACACAGGGCACGTGAAAATGACCAGGTTTCCCTTACCTCATCTCTATGCATGCGCTGAAACTGAGGAAGCGTACTTTCAGTCATAAGAGTACCTTTTCAGATAAGGTGCCTGCGAACTATTTCTCCATGACAGTAGAGCTTTCATGCATTTTCTTAATTTATTTTTTTTTAACTGTTAAGTTTCCCTTTTGAAATGGGTAGTTACTTATATTGTTTGCAATAGGTTCATACAAGTATACAAAGGCTCTAAGTTAACCAAGAGCTGAGATCATCTGGTGGAATGGGGCATCCCTTTGAAGTGAATTAGGACAGTTTAGACTATATGACTTCCATCCTCACGGTAAACAAGTATTACATTTTTATAGCATTTTTAGCTATATAGCACGTAGTTCTCAGTGTGCCAACTTATCAAAGGAAAAATAACCCAAGTTACTCAGAAAAGGTGATGAAACTTATGATCAGCTGTTTTGTTGTCAGAGCGCAAGATGTACAGCCTGCAGACTCTTAGAAATCAGCCGGGCACATTTGCTTCCAAACACTTTAACCAGTCCTTCTTTTTCACTTAAGCCAACATTTTGTGTTTCTCCTTTGACAGTTGAACATTGCCACAAGTTTTACATAAAATGCTGCTGATTGAAAGCTGAGCTCAGAAAACCTGAGCTGAGTTTTGTATTATCCAGTCTTTCTAACACTCTCCCCTTTGCTTTAGCCTTGTCAGTAGCTTTGCCTGCCACCAGGATTACTGACTCCCAGTACCTTGCAAAGCAGCCATCTGGTACGCTTCTGCTGTCGTGTACTAGCAATTAGTTAGCGAGCCTGTTGTCCTCCCCTAAAAGACCTGGTTTTGCAAGATTCAGTCCAAAGTCAGCAAAATATGCTCCTTCCAACAACAAACTGAGCTGGAGAATAGCAAACTACTCTTGCTTATTCATACTGCTCCAGGGATATCACAAGTACTCTTATATGTCCCCTCAGTACTTTATCTTGTCCTGGGAGTAGCCATTTGCTTCCATTCATTTCTGCTAGGTTTATCTTTAGGCAATTTGAGAAGGATAGAGAGGTCTATATACTGTTCAGTGGTAGATGATTATGGGATTTGTTAGCTTTAATCGAACCAAGAAAGAAAAGACATATTTTCCATTTTCCTGACCTTGCTTGAATATACGTTAGAAAGGAGCTACGCTTCCCCAAGGAAACTGTTGTGATAGTTTAAGAAAAAAGACCTTAAGATGTTTGACCGTATTAAAAATTGTATAACCATTATGGCTTTTATCACTTAAGATACATTATGCATGAGTATTCATTTTCAGCTTGACCTTTACATTTAAGTTTGCAGCACCATATTTCATATTAATCTTTCTAGCTAAGGATACATACTGCTCTTGGTAGTTAAGTGACAGTCAATCAAATACTTGCACACAAGTGCCTTTAAAAGTGATTGATGTGTCAAGGTAGGCCAGTGCTAGAGACAACTGAGGCTTAGTTGAATTATATTATCAACAATGACACAACGTTAAGAGTGAGATGTCAGCTGTGTAAAATAAATAAAAAAATTAAGATTCTCTCAGCAGCTGTAAATCTATTTGGTTGCATATATCTTGTATAGACAGGTATTTTCAAAAGACCATAAAGCATATGTGCCAGAGAACATCCTGCATATATACATGTGACATTCTACAGTAGCAAGAGTATAATCCCTTTCTGTTATTTTTATAGCAATCTGATAAAGCATATATGAATATTAGGGGGAAAAAAAAACAACAAAAAACAAAGAAGAACACCAACAGATGGTAGACCCAAGTCCTTCCTTGGTGTCTCTTACGCAGTCCAAAGAGTTGCATCAAAGATTAATTTGGCAGCAATTGTAATATGGATTGCAATTTAAGACTCCCTGGAATCATCATCTTTACCAATCAGTAATGGTTTTAGTCATCATAACATCCAGTTCCTCTCCTCTGTTCTGTCTCTTAGTGATTTATAGTTCATCACCTGCATGGATTATTACTATGTAAACTTTTAAAGCAAACAAAAGCAGATAATACGTAATGCATCTGGTACAAATTGAACTGCAAAGTCTGTTATTGGTAGTGCTTGTTACAGAGAGCCACCTGTACAAGCATCTCTAATGGTGAGAAACTACTGGTCAGCAATAGTCTTAAAACTATGTATCCTCAATGCCAGTGCCTGCAGGAACATCATACCAGGTAGACACCCGTAACCCAGGAGGTAGGGAGTTTGTTTCTCTTCCTCATCAGTGATCTCATCTTACTGGGGACCTGAGTGCATAAAACAAAGCACATCTACTTCCCCTAGTGTTCCCTCCATGAAGATAGTGATTGGACTCACCTGTAGCTACTGGCTGCTTGCAGGTCTCTGTGTCATTACAGTATTTTGTTATTTTCACTTTAATAATGGTGTGAAAAATACACCTGTAGTCACACACCTACTGAAATTTTAATGTGTGTTGAATACATGCAAGATTTGGTTTAGGGCTGCACCATCTGGAGGGTACAGGAGACTTTCCCTCCTCATTGCCCAGGAGTGAGATTCTGAATGGGGTGATAATGCCAGAATATGAATATGTCGTCAATGCTACACCCTTCCTGTGTTTAGATAGAAGGATGATTAGTAGTTTATTTTCCCATTCTGATTTAGCAATGACTATCCTCCTACATGACTTCTTGAAATACCAAGCCAAATTTCTGTTATCCTGCACGTTTATCAGTTCAGCTGAAGCTAAACTGTAAAGCTCAGCCAGGTCAAGGCTTCTTAGCAACTGCATTTTGTAATCTCAAGTGCAAGAGGCTGCATAACTTGCTGATCCCACCACAGGAAAATGACAGGAAGAAGGGGCAGAGCCACTCTGTTGCCTTGGAAAGGGGTGAGCTAGGATATGAATGGGGACTGTTGCTGCTGGAAGCATGCTGCTTTGGTTCCCCATCAACATCACTCCAGGATCTTCATCTGCTAATCACCAATTAGTCTGTATTTCCTTTCTCTTTCCTAAACATAGTTTGCATTCTCCCTGAGCCAAGATCCCTGTGGGAATTTTACAATTGCAAGTCATGGCACGCAGAACACCCTGCCCAATAAATTTCCAATCTAGCTGAAACAATTCACCATTTAGTATAAGAATTCCTTATTAAGATTTGTGGTAGCTTTTAGAGATGCTCTGAAGCCTTTGTTAACGGAATACCATTCACACGGGTTCTCTAGCACATCTGAATGGTTCCTCGGATCACAGTTTTTGCATATACACAGATAATTGGAAATATTAGTGTTCCATCACATAAAGTGAAAATTTCCAATCCATTTCTGAAGTCTTATTTTATTTCCTATTTTAGGGCCAAATGAACTTGACTGCAATCTGATTATGGATTCTGGAGATACCATTTATACAGAATTTGACTTTGAAGACCAGGTAATTTTATGTATATATGGCCTCTCTCTAGACAGTTTTCTACTTTATGTACATACTGTCCTATACGATTAGTCTGAACAAAGTGGCAGAACTTTAGGGGTACCTAAGCCAAAGGACTTTTTAAGTATAAGTAAATTTGTGATACAAAGAGGTTGCTTTCTGGTTATGAGAAAAGAGTGGATATTATTGTGGTATTAAGAGCCCATATCTTCTATTGCTCTACATTGCAGAGTTTCCTCCACAAATTTTAAAATGTTGGCAAACTTGGCAAATAGAATTGTTGGAATGCACTGTAAGTCTACTGTATATTTGAGAGAGTAAAACATTATTCAAAAGAGAGGCATGAAAGTATAAAACAAAAAGTGTGAAATGCAACTAAAACCAAATAAAACATTCTCCCCTTGAAGAGGTGTTTTTAAGAATAAAACAACAAATGCTTACAGTGTGTTGAAACTAGCCTTTATACTGATCCCATCCTATCCACATCTAAAAATTAAATCTTGATAGCATTTTCCTGGTACATAGGAAGAAAGAAGGCTAGAAAGGGAAAAAAGGTTGTGAGAGAGCTGGGAGTGTTCAGCCTGGAGAAGAGAAGGCTTGGGGGTATTACAGCAATGTGTACAGAAATCTGAAGGGAGGGTACAAGGAAGATGGAGCCAGGCTCTTTTCAGTGGTGTCCAATGACAGGACAAGAGGCAATGGGCACCAACTGGAACACAGGAGGTTCCTGTGGCTTGGATACTGTGGTAAGAATAAATGTTAAATTATTCTTGTTCCTGTGTTGTTCATAAGCATTAAAAAAATTACTTATAATTAAATATATATATATTTTTTAAAGCCATCTGCGTGTCACCCCACAATACATAAGGTTGGTAGGATTTTGGTTTCTGCCTTTCACTTTTGCATTATTCTGCTTGCATTTTCTTCACAAATACCACAAACACTTCTCCAGATTTGAGCAGTTTGGCAAAGAATGTTATTTTGTGTTTGTTATCACTCAACTAAATGCAGTTGCAAATGTTCTCAACTCTCTCATTATTTGCAAAGATGTATTTTCTTGTGAAATTTTAAAGCTAGTGACAAAATCAGGACCAACAAAACCAACTTTTCATTCAGTATTATCTGTTCATTCATTGATTTTCTTTCACAGTATTCAATGCAACACTTCATCCTCACCTGTAACATATTATATGTTCTAGCCCTATTAATTTCTATTATTTACGGTCCTTTTACTGTTGGTTTTGGTTCTGTTATTTCAGTTTGGCTTTTTCTCAAGCAGACAGTTTGCCTGCATCTCCAAATCCCATTTTAAGTCCCATTCTTTCATATATCCTACTTAAAACATTCTCTCACTCAGGAAACTCTCTTAAGTTTCTCATCATCTTTGTCTTGACTCTGCTACTTCTTTATTGCAGAATTTAAGCCTTTATGGCCTATAAAGCAGAATATATATTTAAATAATGTTTGGATTATTTAGATGTTAAATTTTGCATTTTAATGACATACTAAATAAATTCTTTTGGCAGAGTATGGACACTTATATTCTTGATTCATAGTGTTTGAAATGCTGTTCAAATAATAAACACAAGTTTTATAGTTACAAAATAAAATTAACAAAAATAAATACATGAAAACTATACTAATTTATAATTTCAAATGATATGGTTCACTGATGGTCCACGGCACAGTCCATAAAAGCACTGACTGAATGAAGTTGCATGGGGTTCTTATGCGAGACAAACAAGACAACTATGGTGGGACCTTATTGTCTTTGTCAATAGCAAATACTCTTTTTGCCAGATGCGGTGGTTAGCTTTTCTCACTGTTTTGCCAGACCAACACATTGTCATTCTGGCAAGAATGCAACACTGTTATCAAATAGAGAGGGAGAAATGAAGTAAAAACAATGCTAAAAACCTTTCAGTCAAAGAGATATATAAATGTGAAGTGGCTGACAATGACTCTCTTCAACTGCAAGTTGGTATCTTTGATACTTATTAGTGAGATTTTTTAAAAAATATAAATATTTCTATTAATAATAAATATTTTTATACCCGGTTCATATGAGATGCCTTGTACAAATATAAAGCAATTCTAAAGGAGAAAACAATTGAAACCAAAAGCCCTTACCATCTAAATTTTGAAATGGTTCAAGCAAGTATTATATACAGAAGCAAAGAAGGGAGCAGAGATTACTGTAAAATCATAATACTATCTAGCTACCCAGTCTGAAAAACAAAATCAGAAATTACTCTAAGGAAGAAAAGATCAATAACTAAATTCATGAGTGAGGAACTGCTCGCATTCGAAACTTGAGCTCATTTTGACTTTGGCAGTGATTTAATACTCCAGTGATTTACCACATGCTGTTTACGAATTGCGCAAAGCACCAACAACCTTTACTCGGAGAATCTCAAGTGGAAAAGGAATGTGTGTCTGGATACAAATGTGTCATGCAGTCATGTTATTGCATAGGAAATCTGTCATGAGAATGTGGGGGATAAGAAGGCTGGTTTCTAAGCAACCTTACACAGCTGAGCTGCTAAAAATGTCTGAATTTTAGCAGAACATCTTGGTAGTCATTGAAAAAGAGGAGCTGGGGGTTAGAGCAGTATACAACATATATGGAAGACAAAGCCACAGCTGGGGATGAGTATCACTTGGCACAGCTGAAATGAATGTACACAGATACCTTCACATTTTCTCATTTGTGGAATGAGCCAGGAAAAACTCCAGTGTAAGCTAAGCTGACAAAGAAGTATCTGAGTTCTTCAGATGTACATTATTTCTTCCAGAATAACCTCTCTTACTGGCAGGCAGGAACAATGAGAAGGAGTGGTGTGGTTCCAACTACCAATGTAGTCATCAGCTCATCGAGGAGTGCTCCAAAATACAGCAAAGTGCTTTGAGAAACTCTGTACTTGTTGAAATAGTGCAAAGCAACACTAATGCAGGCTAAAATCTGGCTCTTCTGGAGGAGTACACAGGGGAAACTGAATTAAAAATACTCAGAAAAAGCTTGAGTTTTCTATTGTATGTTTTATAAATGAATGTTCAATCAAGTTCATGTAATTAAATTAAAAGCAAGCTGGTTGTTTTCTACTAGCTACAAATGAATGCTTCAAGAACAAGAACACTTGAAATTACTAAATCCTTGCAGCATTGGAAGGCAGGAGGAAAATACCCACTTTAAAAAAAAACACAACCCAAAAGCAAAAAAAAAAAACCCCAGCACACACAATTTTTTTTTTCTCCAAATCACTAACAATTATTTTTCTGTTCTTTCTCAGATCTGTAGCTGTCAGATCCTGTATTACAGAAAGAATAAGTTAGGTTTTTAGAATGACTGCTCAAAATGTATTCTTCAAAAAAGTAAAAATAAAAGCAGACAGTACCTCTCATTGAGAATGCCTTGTGGAAGAACCAGCCAAAGTTTCATATGGTAGCAATCTCTATAGCCTTTTCTGGAGTAATGATTACACTACTTATGTCTTGATTGAAAAACATAAAAGCAGAGTAAACTGATAAGTTTCAGATATTTTCACACATATTAAGACATCAGGAATATGTTTTGGGCCACTCATTTTTGGGTGTAACAGCAAAGCTTCTAATGAAGAACTGTGCTTTATTGAGTATTCTAAATTTGCAGGATTCACTGTCATGACTGGTGTCTGTTTGGTTTAATAAGGATCATCTTTTGTTGCTGGAATGCTCTGAAGTGTGATACTGCTCACTAAGTTCATTTATACTTGCCATTCAACTTCTCAACTTTGCCAGAGAGGCTGTCAATATAATGCCATTTATTTCCAGAGATCAGACAAGTTTTATCTTTAAGAACTAGATTTTTAATTAGAAATCTACCATTTGGCTTATTTCAAGTGCATTCAGGCCAAAAGGCCGTATTGAAAAATTGGCATCAGTGAATCCTATCAAAGAGTTCCAGAAGAAAAGAACATCCAATTATTTTTTTGTGAAAACAAGGCTTTCAGGACAACCTTAGCTAGTCTGAGGAATATTTAGACTAATTAGAGAAAAAGAGAAAAATCAGAGAATACAGACAGACAACCATAAAGTTAATACACTCCTGGAACAAGTGTTTGTAGAATGAATAACTTTAAAATTTGGGAAACATGAAAATCAGAGAAACTTCAAGTATAAACCTTAAAAATGCTAATAACTGAGAAATTTTCACATCCTTCAGTGTCAGACTGTATTTACTTACACAATTAAGGTAAGTGCAATGGCACATGCAAAAGAGATTGCCTTCTCCTCCCACCCCCCGCCAAGTGTGTCGAAGACGTATGAAAAGTAGATGTAAAAAAGATACTAAAAGCTTTTCTGTTCAGCAGTGACGAGCAGTCTATTGAATTAAGAAAATTGCATAACCCAATCTTTGCTGCAAGTGCAGAACATTTTATAATTAGAAGATGTGACAGCTTACTTGAAAAGCAACAAGCAAAACCAAAATGAAGTGGAGGAAAAAAGCCCTCAAAGAAACTTATTCTCATTCTAACAAGAGGAAACAAGCTCTTGATTAAAAGTTGTTGCCATGTAGTGACAATTCTTCTTACAGCTTGCTGTCATTTCCCACCCCGAGCACATACAAATCTAGGCTTTAGGGGAGCAGGAGGAAAGCTTTAAGTGAACTGATGAAAAACAGATTGCATTGCTACCAAGACTATAACATTTCCAGCCTGACTGATTATCATAGCTTGAAGCTTAAATATTCAAGAGATATAATGAAAAGGCCCTGAAAGTCTTTTCAATGCTGAAGCTGAACACAAATGTTCCTAAAACTGATGGACAACAGCAAATTGAAAGCCTCATTTAAGTAAAGCTCTGTGGGTTAAACCAAAGACCATTTTCCTCCATTTACTGTATTTCATATCATCTGTCACTGTGTTTTGACTCCATTTTTTCCTACATCAAAGATTCAATCCAAGTAATTTATTTAACCCTTCAGACAGAGTGCTTCAGGGGTTGCTGTTACAAAATGACAA